GAGACAGTTTCAACCCTTCTCCAGTACACTATAACATAAATCTTTCCCTTTTCAATTATCTATCATTTTAAGTATTAATCATATTTCTGTATTTTGAGTGGTATTTTTCCCTTTACTATGTCTATTTACTTATCATATTTCAGAGATTCCTCATAGTTTCTGGCTCCCAAAGGCTTACCATTGTCATATTTGAGTATAATAATGGGTTCATTAAGTCTTGTGGACAAAAAGGAGCCACACAGTAAACTTGACAAGCTCATGGAGGCCGACCTGGTGGCCTCACAAACCCAGCTACCAAAGCAACCACACAGGATGGTCTGAAACCAAAACTTCCTGACTGAAAGGGAGTCATGGAGCACAATCCTGTCCTAGGCCTGCATCATCTGTGACAAAGGTCAGTCTTCACCATAAGTGAGCCTGTCTATTGTCTTTGTGCATCTAAGAGAACAGACCTTTGGAATGTCAGGGTGACCCCTTTTTCCAGACTCCTCAGGGCACACACTCCCACCAGAACCTCTTCTTCTCCTAGAATTATCTCTGTGCTTTAAAGGTGAGTTGTGCACTCTGCCACACCCACCAGTGTAAAGAAGTCCACATCTCTTCATTTTGCTTTTATCCAGTCCCCTCAAGCTCAGAGATTTCCCTGCTTGGCTTTTGCCAGCCTCTCTAGTCTACCACCAATGGATTTCATGGAATCTCCTTATGTTTTGATTCTGATGTACAAAAGAAGTGGAAAAACTGTCACTTTTCCAGAGCATTTTCTCAATTTATTGAGATTTTGCTTCCTGACAATTATCTTCAGTTTGGCTAAAATAAACTCATAAATGAAAACACTCCATATGTTTAGACATTTCTTATGTTGACAGTCATTAGCCTTTTTTAAAAAATTGACTTGAAAGAGAGAAAAAGAGAGAGAGAAAGAGACAGAGAGAGAGAGAGAGAGAGGGAGAGAGAGAGAACACATTGATGTGAAAGAGGAACTTCGATTGGTTGCAAACTCGCAACCCAGGCAAGTGCCCTGACCAGAAATCAAACATGCACCTTTTGGTGCATGGAGATGATGCTCCAACCAACTGAGCCACTTGGCTTGGGTGATAGTCATTAGTCTTTACCTCTTTCCCATAATTTCTAGGGATTGGAGGCATGTGCTTAGTCTGTCTTTTTAAACCATAGCACAATCATTATTTTTAATCTTTAATAATGTGCTCATCAAAATATCCTTTTTAAATTTTTTTAAAGATTTCATTTACTTTATTTTTAGAGAGAGGGGAAGGGAAGGAGAAAGAGAGGGTGAGAAACATCAATGTGTGGTTGCCTCTTGCATACCCCCTACTGGTGACCTGGCCTGAAACCCAGGCATGTGCCCTGACTGGGAATCAAACCTGCGACCCTTTGTTTCACAAACCTGCACTCAATCCACTGAGCTATACCAGCCAGGGCAAAATATCTTTTTTTAAAAATAAGAGTCTGTTTATTCATTTCTGTTATATGGATCCCCAAATTTAAACAACAGATTTTAAATATTTCATTAGCATTTTGGGAAGACAGATGTCCAGTGAGTTAAATTCTCCAAAGTAATCCCATTGGGGTTACTGTCATCACAGCTTTTTATTTCTTATTCTTGCTTGCTGAACTAACTAGTAAACTGTTCTCAAAATGCTGTTTGATTTCCAAGTTTTATTGGCTGCTTTTCTGAACATTTAAAACAACTTCTGAAAGACCACTCACCTCCAAGTGGGAAGTAGTAGCCTTCTAAAAATAAATATTGGTAGTCACAAGCAGAAGCAGCTTTTAAACTTGCAAGCCCTCCAGGTCCCAATGCTTTTCAAACTTGGGAAATAATACTTTGAGTTTAATGTTTGAATGTCACGGGGGGGAGGGTGGAGGAGACAATAGGGGAAAGGAAAGACAGTGAGTGAAGGCCAAGACTGTGAGAAAAACAAAAAGCAACTTGGAGATACAGCATAGCCTGGGACATTTAAAGTGAAGAGGGATGACTTAAATTTAGGATTTTCTGATTTTTTGAGGCTGAATTGCAACAATTACATTATATGAATGGTTGGGGATATGGATGAATCTTCCTTATTTTAAGAGGGGAATCTTAGCAGTGTACCACTACAATAATTGTTAAAAACTCTTAAACAATGTCCAAGTGCTTTTCAAAAGATTTCTAGGCTTAGAAAACTATGTATTTAGGATCAAATAAATGCACTTGGGATTTTAAGCATTTATAAAAACATCTGACTTCACCAAATATGTACAAATTGGTCTGAAGGTTAGACATATTTTTGTATATAATGTAAATCTGAAATTCTCCCTGACTTTGAGCAAAATTCCCATGGGGCTCATGTCATTGGGAACACAAACTATTGCTGTTTATATTAAAGTTGACCTTTGTGATGTTCCTTATGTATACTGTAATGTTTTTGTTAATGCTTCTTCATAATATTGACATTTTGGGTTTCAGTATATGAAGGCTTTATACAAAGACTATGTGGTGGCTTTATTAGATTTTCTTCCCCTATAACAAGGCAGGAGCTGAAACACGTATTCTCCGTGTGCAGGGAGGAAATGAAAGAGTGAAAGCTTGGATGATGCTGTTAGTGATGAATCCAGTCTCTCACTGGGTAAGTGTGGCTCACATGAGTTTTGTTTCAAATTAGAAGGGCAGATTTTAGGTCACTATTTGTAACATCTGTAGTTAAGTTTTTCAAATTTTATTGAGATTTAATTAAAATACACTGCAATGCACCTATTTTTATTATACATTTTGATAGTTGTAACTCACTCATCCATCCCATTCAGATATAAAATGTTTCCATCACTCCCTGAAATCCCCTTGTCCTCTTTACAGTCGATGCTCCTAACACTCCTGCCCCAGGGAGCCACTGGCTTGATCACAGTCATTGTGGGCCAGTTTGTCTGTTCAAGGTTTCATGTACATGGACTTGTGCTGCATGTATTTGTGTATGTGTCTCCTTTCTTTTACTCCACATAGTGTTTTCGAGATTTATCCATTTTGTTGGTTTGTTTCTTTTAATTGCTGAGAAGTCAGCTGCAAGAATATATCAAAATTTATCTCTTTACTTATTGATGGTTATTTGGGTGATTTCTAGTGCAAAGCTATTATAAATGAAGCCACTATAACCATTTGTGTATAATGCTTATTTGCTGACATTTGTTTTCAGTTATTTTTGCTAGCTATCTGGAAGTGAAACTGCTAGGTTGTATGTTAAATGTATCACAAAGTGCCAAACTTTGTTTCCATAGAACTTATGCCATTTTACATCTTAAAGTTAACATACAAGAGTTTCAGTTGCTCCACATCCTCACCAACAGTCAATATTGTCATCTTTTTTAGTTTTTGTCATTCTAATAGTTGTATAGAGGTATCTCTTTAACTGTTTGATTTTCAGTTGTACGATAAAGATGTTGAACATATTTTCATGTGCTTATTTTTCATTCATACATCACCTTTTGTGAATTGTCTGTTCAAATATTTTGTTTGGTGAGTTGTTATAATTATGCTGCAAGGATTTTTTATGTAGCCCAGATATAAATTCTCTTTGTCAGGTATAAGTACGGCAAAAGTTTTCTCCCAGTCCGTGGTTTGTCTCTTCATTTTAATAGTGTTTTTAATTTTGACAAAGCCTGTTATGGGTTGTATTCCATCCCTCTTGAAAAGATATTTTAAAGTTTTAATTTCCTGTGTCTTAGAATGTGACATTATTTGTAGACAGAATATTCATAGAGGTAATCAAGTTAAGGTGAGGTCTTTAGGGTGGGCCCTAATCCATTGTGTTTGGTGTCTCTATGAAATGAAAAAAATTGACAGAGAGATGCCCACAGGGAGAAGGCCTTAATGAGATGTGACAGGGATCAGGCTGATGCAGCCGTACAGCCAGACACCCCAGAGCTTGCAGGCAAACCCCCAGAAGCCAGGGAAGGGGCATGGGACAGGCTCTCCCACACAGCTCTCAGAAGGAAGCGATCCCAACTCCCCCTTCACCATGGACATCTAGGTTCCAGAACTAGGAGAAAATGCATTTCTGTTGTTTAAGCCATGCAGTTGGTGGTATTTTGTTATGACAGCTATAGGAAAAGAACACCAAGCCAAATTTATCAAATTTCTAGGGCAAGGTTACTAAGATTTATTTCTATGTCTTCTCTAGATTATTTTGAAATCACACATAAGCATACTCCACATATTTTCTTCCTCACTGGGTTTCATGTTTAGATTTTCTAATGCCTGCAGGAACACCTGTTTCTTGTATAAGTTCTAGAATTAATCATAGTTTCTATTAGCAATAGTGTAAAAATATCAAGTGGCTTGGTGTCCATCTCTTCAAATGCAACATGGAGCACGTTCTAGTTCCAAGGGGATACGGTCACTTGTCCTTTTGGTTCCCTTCCTATTACATTGAAGGTGATCATAACTCACATTTTTATACCAGTCATTTAGGGCCCAGTAGAGGCAGGCCCAGGTGCATTTCACCATTCCTTTCATCCCTCTACCCAAGGACTATTTATGTATAGGCCAAACACATGTGGCTCCAGGTAAACACCCTGAAAATGCTGAACAAGGAGGTCCTTTTCCTCCTGGATACACAATAGCATCAGAGTTTTCAATGAACACTAATGTTCTAGCACTCTAGCACTCTACTTCAAGAAAGGACAAACTACTGACTAACCCACACAATCTTTACCTTGAGAAATTGGTTTATTTGTTGGAAGTAATTGCCATGGCACCTTTGTTCTTCATAGTTTGAGAAAACATGAGTCCACTAGGTCAGAAAAAGGACTAAAATACCAACTCAGTAAAATTTTCTGTGAGTCTTCCTTTGGAATGGCATACTCAGCAACTGATGCACGTGGCCTCTGCTTTTACATGACTCTGTCAGAATGCAGCATTGTTTTCTAATTCCTGAAGTTCTGTTGTACAATAGAACCAAGGCTTCAATATACTACTTCTAAGAAATTTCTACAGGTAAATGCCTTACCCTTGACAGACAGGTGTCTCCAGGTCACAGTTGGCTCTGGTCTGCCAATAGCAAGACACAGCAGGGTCACGCTGCTCCCCTCGTTCACGGTGATGTCTGAGGAGATATTCATGATTTGCGGAGGAACTGTAAAGAAACAGAGAATAAATACATGAGAATGATTCTTTACACTCGAAAGAAGGTGTTAGCCTATAAATATTCATATAGCATGTTTTTTATAATGAGTATTTTCTCAATAATAATGTTCAGATTTCTCGATTTTCCAAGGATGTGGTCACTAACACAACATTTACAATGCTCTTATGCCTTGTAGCAGGAGGCAGGTGTATGTGTGTGGGTGGGGGGAAGAAGCACAGGAACTGAAGAGAAGGACATTAATGCTTCTTGACTGAAAGGCAAAACCAAAAGGAAATCACAATATTTTCTAAGAGTTCTTGTCTATCCACACGCTCATTTATTTTGGTGGAATTGCTGACTTAAGCAAATAGTCACGTGTTGCCCCCAGTTAAGCCATTTCCAATAAAGCCACCCACACTAAGTTAGTTACCATTTCCTGAGCATCCGGATGCTTTCATATTCTTTGATCTTGCACAGATTACTCCATCCTGCAAGTCTTTCCTTTCATGTTTCTTTACCTGAAAATTCCTTCTCATTCCTTAAAACATCTTTAAAATACAGAAAAATTGTGTCTGGCTTGTCCAGTCATAGTTAGTTGCTTTTTCCCCTGGCCCACTCCCAATCCACTGTCCCTGCTGCTATTGCTACCATAAGATTTATTGTAACATCCAGCCTCGATGGCACTGTATCCCAGTGGTTAGGAGCAGGGCTCCAGGGCTCGACCAAAAACTCTGCTGAAGAATCTGGGGCAAGGTAAACTGCCTTCCACTCCCAAAGATTTGGTACCCTCACCTGTAAAATATATATGGTGGTAGCAGCTAAACTAATTGTGTTGTGAGGTCTAGATAAAACAATGGCTTAGCAGAGTGCCTGATTGGAAAGAAGCACACAATAATGTCTTTCTCAACAAACTGTTGATCTCTCATGGGCTAGGCCCATGTCCATATACCTTTTGCATTGTAAAGGGTGACAGCATCTCCAGTTGTTCTGTCTACCTTGTCCTACCCCTGGGCCTGGGTCTCAATTTGATTTGAAACTCAGCATTGGAAACACCCTGATTCCCCTCAACTCTTACTTCTCATTGTCCTGGTTGAATTTCTTACCAAATTTCACAGCAACAATGGTAGTTGCCTCCCACCTGGATCCTCCCACCTGTTCTCTTTAGAATTTTGGATCCCTCTAACCTATCCCCTCCTTGTGGTCAGAGGGGTCTTTTCAGACAATTATCTTAATCATATTGCTCCTGGAAGACTCCTTTAGCCCACCATTGCCTACCAGGCTTAACACACACCCTGTTTTGCACGACTTACCTAAGCCCTCTAAAATCTAAGCCCCGGCCCACTGACAGACCTCATCTCTAGGTATAGTCCCCACTAAGACCACACTGCAGACACTGGACCTGGCTTTCCACTTTCCTGGGAACAGAGCAAAGCACACAAACTGCCAGAGTTTGCTTTTCCTTGTCTTCTCTTCATTTTCTACCTGAGAAGGTATGACTCAACTATCAAGAAACCTCAAAGGTCATCTTCCCTCCAATCCTGAAAAGAGAGAACAATTCTCCTGTTCTGTTTTTTCCAAAACTCCCCACAGGAGGGGACTGTGCAGGTTGTGTTAGAGTTGATTGTTTAATGCCTGGCTTTTTACCTGGAGAGTGAGGTGCTTGAGGATAAGGATGGGATTTCATACATCCCTATTTCCTCAGTCTCTGACACCAGGCTGACAAAGGTACATGTTTGATTCTTCTTTGAAAGAAAGATCTGAAGAACAGATTGAACACATCCAAAATCTAAGGAGGGCAAAGCTTTTAGTGGAGAGTTTCCAAAACTTAAATCTTTCTTCTCAATTTTCTTTTAGATTCTTAAAATAATGGGAAAGAAAACAGAGGGAGGAGGCTCCAAGCTTATAGTTCTGTTGATTTATTTAAATTGCCAGGTTAATTGTGAATTATTAATTACTATCCAGGTAGAGTGCTAGTGAATTCCAGACTACCCTGAGTCAGTGGCAAAGGAGAATTATGGCTGATGCTTGATTCAGATGACTATGCAGCTTGAAATTTTATGCTGCTGAGACCTTCAAGGTAAGTCTTTTCAAGGAGAAGCCATAAGTAACATGTAGAACACTTGAGTTCTTAAGAGAATCCATATTAGAAAATAAATAAAAATTACCTAGCTTATAAATCTGCCACACTTTGTATTATTTCTGCATTAGAATTTGCCCTGAAATTTCATTGCACATGTTTTATCCAGATACACACTGGGAAAAAATTGTAGTTAGAATGTAATTCTAACTACACTGCATCCTCTTGAGAAAACTGTATTACCTATTTTTCCAGTATTTTCTAGCTTGTTAAAATAAAATAGTTCTGAGCTTAGAAATGTCAATACTTTTTTTCACCTTTAAAAAGCAACAACTCCAGTGCACCTTCCAAAATGTCCTCAGAATAATGTCTGCTTTAGCTGGATGCATCAGGCCATCTGAAGTTCTCTTTCTCTAGACTGGAGAGTCTCCCTCATAATGAAGACATGGCCAGGGGTGGGGGTTGGTAATAAGTGACATCTTTGGATTAGTGAAGGCTGATTTGGTATGTTCCAGCTAAGATGCTCAGGGGCAGAACTCTCCACACTGTCCCCAATTAAGAGACTATTCAGTTATATTTTATCTGATAGTTTGAGGGGCCCTGGATTAAAGGATATTTGTAAAATTCTGTGGATATTTGGCATGACCTCCTCCTTTTCCTTCTCAATCTAATGTCACCCACTGGGAGGGAATGAAATTGGCAAGGTTACTCCAACTCCTCCACCAAGCCCCAGGCAGTGCTTTCTGTCATCCTCTGCACGTCTATAGTGTTCCCTGTCATTTTCTCAAAGGAGAAAAGACAAAAGGTTGTGGGTAGCCAGTAACACACACACACACACACACACACACACACGGAATTGAAAGTTCTTTCTGTTCTCAATTATGATATTTTATTACTAATATGTAATATATAATAATGTTTTACTTATAAATATATAACTTGAATGTTTTCAAATTGCTTGCACAAGGCTTATCTTGTGGATTTCTTAAGAATTAAAAGATAATGAGATAAATAGAACAAATATTCTCACTATTAAGTACATGATTTTCTAACCACTTTGCTGTACATCTCAAACTGATACAAAATAATATTGAATGTAAGCTGTAATTTTTTTAAAAATGAAGAAGGTGGAGCATGGGAGGGTTAAGTAATTTGCCCCAAATTACATGGTTAGCCAATGGAAGAATTCCTTCCATTATACCATGCTTCCTCTTTGTTTAACCTCTATCATTGCCCCCAAACATAGTGTTTATGTCTGCATATCTGTTTCCTCTGCTTGGAACATCCTTCCTGTGCATCTTCCCTCATGGCATTTAACAAAATGAGCAGAACCAGCTCATTCCAGTCCACTTCCCAGAAACCTGCACGTCACTGCAGACAGCATCCACTTTACCATCCTGGTATCTTTTGGACCATTCTTTTGGCCAACATTGCTTGCCAAAGGAGGTTCTCAGCACTTTTCATTTGATTTGAAATATCAAATGAATTTGGCAATACTATTATGATCTTTCCCTTGTTTCATAACTTTTTGAAAAAAGGAGCACATGAAAATGTTTTTTTTTTTCCTTTTTAATTTTGTTAAATATATACGGGTGACTTTAGTTAATAAAATTATATAGATTTCAAGTGCATAATTCTTTGGTACATCAACTGTGTATTGCAGTGTGTGTTTCCCACCCAAAGTCAAATCTTATTCCATCACCATATATTTGACTCCTGTACCCTTTACTAACCCCCCATCTCCTCTCCCCTCTGGTAACTGTAAGACAGTTTTTGTTTGTTTGTTTATTGTGTTTGCTCATTTGTTGCTTTCTGTTTTATATCTCACATATCACTGAAAGTGTATGCTTCTTAACCCAGTGAAAATATTCTTCAAACAGAATAGAGAAATAAAAACTTTAAGACAAACAAAGTTGAGGTAATTTAGTGCCAGCAGACCTACTATGAAATAAAAGGTTGAAGAAGCTTTTTAGACACAAGGAATACAATTCAGAGGTCAGAATTTAGAGGGACACACACACACAGTATTGGTAATGGGATAATAAATATAGAATGTAATCTATCTTAGTCTTTTAGAAATTTCTGTAAAATATAACTGTACAAATCAATACAGTTGTTTGTATATAAGTTTTTATTTGTTTGTCTTGTTTGTTCATTCGTTGCTTTCCATTTTATATCCTGCATATGACTTAAATCATATGGTTATTGACTTTTTATGTCTAACTTGTTTCGCTTAGCATGATATTCTTAAGATGCATCATGTTGTTGTAAATGGCAATGTTTCACCTTTTTATGGTTAAATAGTATTCCATGGTATATGTACATGCTTTTTATCCAATCTCCCATCAAAGAACACTTCAATAGTTTCCATGTCTTGGGAAATACAAATCAATACTACAGTGAGAAAGCACCGCACACCTGATAGAATGGCTATTATCAAGAAAACATTAATAGCAAATGTTGAAGAGGCTGTAGAGGAAAAGGAATCCTCATTCACTGCTGGTGAGAATGTAAACTGGTACAGCCACTATGGAAAATTATATGGAGGTTCCTCAAAAAATTAAGAAGAGTTACCATATGATCCAGCAACCCCTCTTCTGGGTATCCACTCCCAAAATAGGAAAACATCTACTCACAAAGTTATATGCACCCCTAAGTTCATTGCAGCATTATCCATGCAAGTAACTTTAAATGCCTCTACATATTTTGAAAGGAGAACTTTGTTTAATTTGTAGACACTTACCTATGTCAAACAAATAAATAAATATATTTATATACAATATGTAGCTAGTGTGTATTAATATACAGAAAAAATACATACCAATCCTACCTGAAATGCGAAAACTAGTCAAATAAAATAATAAGATGCACAAGAATCTCATGAAAGGATTACAAACAGCACAGTGTGTTTCCCATAGCATCTACAGACACT